AGCAGTGGGGTGTTCCAAGGTGACTGACAGGGGCGGAGTATGCCTATTTGTAAGAGTCTTTGAATGTGGGGTCTAATTCCCTCTCGAGCCTCTCTGCTCATAAGGTATTGCTTGATTGAAACCGGGGTTACAGATGGTCTTAGAGTGACCATTATTGGAGGTTGGTTGGATGCCGGTCCCGGGCCTCTTGTCTCAGCCCATGCTGAGGGGAATTTAATTAGCCAATCAGATATACCAGGAGTCCCTGGTATTGGTTCTTCATATAACCGATGTTCATCTTCTAATCATAGGGTTAATACCTGTAGTGGAGCTCTATCTTTTTCTTCTAGAGTAGCTCCCTTTTTAGTGAAGTAGATGTGGGCTCCCAGCTTAGAGAGTAAAATCTCTCCCAAGAAGGGGATATGGACAGTTGGGGACCAGCAAGAACGAGTGGGAGACCTGTCCTGTGCTGAGGTCCACTTTTCTTTCTGTGGTCTACCTGTATATTTTTCCTCCGATGGCCCCTTGGACCCAGGCTGTTCTGGAACTCATAGGTCCCTTGGTGGTTGTCAAGACCGAGTGTTGAGCTCCTGTGTCTACCATGAAGGTAGTCAATTGCCCCCCTATCTTTAAAGTTACCCTGGGCTCAGGGGGGAGCTCCTGGCCCTGACTCCCCTAGTCCCCTAGAGCCAGGACTTGGGCTGTCTTCTTTTGTCTGTTCAACTTCTTTGGACAGTCTCAAGCCCAATGTCCTCTCTCTTTGCAATAGGCACACTGGTCTTTATCTACTCGGTCTTCTTTTGTCTCTCAGGTTCCTACTTGGCCCTGTTCCCTGGACTACTGTGGCCAAAATTTGACTTAACTCTTTATTTCTCTTCTTCTCTCTCTTATCTTCTCTGGCTTTCTGTTCTTTTCTAATTCTATCCTCTCTCTTTTCTAATGTCTCACGCTTATTGTAAATTTTCTCAGCTTCTCTTATTAAATCCTGTAAGGAGTACCCCTGAAGGCCTTCTAGCTGTTGAAGCTTGCCACGAATGTCAGGAGCAGATTGCCCTATGAAGACCATAATAAGGTCTGCCTGACACTCCTGAGCTGTGGGATCAAAAGGGGTGTACATCTTATATCCCTCTATGAGGCGCTCTAGAAACCCTGCGGGGGTTTTATTTTCTCCCTGGGTTATAGCACGTACCTTTGCCAAATTGGTTGGGCGCCTTCCGGCCCCTTTGAGACCCATTAACAGAGTCTGGTGATAAAGATGGAGACGCTCCCTACCTGCCACGGTTTCAGGGTCCCAGTTGGGTCTGGTCAGAGGAAATCCTGCATCTATTTCATTTGGGAACTGAGTGGGTCTCCCATTGCCCGGGGACGTTTTTCCAGGCTTCCAGGATGACTCGCTGTCTCTCCTCTATGGTTAGGAGTGCCTGGAGAAGTTGTTGGCAATGTTCCCAAGTGGGTTGGTGGGTAAGAAGAATAGACTCAATTAAAGCAGTTAAAGCCTGAGGGTCCTGAGAAAAAGAAGGGTTATGAGTCTTCCAATTATAAAAATCTGAGGCTGAGAAAGGCCAGTATTGGATCTGATCCCCTACAGTTCGGAGGGGAAAAACCTGGGCAGTCCAGGTTCCACCAGAAGGACCCCCTCTATCTCTTCTCAGGTGAAGTCTGCTAGATGGAGGGGGAGATTGGTCAGGTTCGGTGGAATCAGGAGAGGGATGAGGTAGTCCTTGGGGTGGAGGTAGTTCCTGGGGTGGGGTGCCTGCGCAGGTGGATAGGGAGGTGGAGGATCAAGGAAGGTTAAGGAGGCTTGGTCCTCAGGGAGGACTGGCTT